GGTCTCGACCCCGCGGGCTCAGGCAATCCACTCACCTCAACCTCCCAAAGGCGTGGGATTGCAGGCTGAGCCACCGAGCCCGGCTACAAATGGTTTTTAGTTGCATGGATGCATTGTATATTGGTGAAGAAGCCTGGATTTTAAGAATACCCATTACTCCAGTAGTGCACGTTGTACCCGATAGGAGATTTCTCATCCCTCGCCTTTTCTCACTCGCCTCCTTTCACATATTTTCAATATGCCTTTGTAGACCCACAGCTTACCTCAGACTTATAAATGAATTTAGGATACCGATCTTCAGTTCCATCCAAGTTGCAGCAAAAGGCATAATTTCATTTGTTTTTAGGGCTGAATAGTATTCCATGGGGGTGTGTGTGTGTGTGTGTGTGTGTGTGTGTGTGTGTGTGTGTGTCTCACGTTTTCTCTAGCCACTGATCAGTTGACGAGTATTTAGGATGATTCCTCATCTTAACAATTGTGAATTTTGCTGCAATAGACATTGCGAGTACAGGTCGATAGATACCAAGTAGTGGGATTGCTAGATCAAATGATAGATCTTCTTTCTTTGAGAAACCTCTATACTGGTTTCCACAGAGGTTGTATAATTTACATTACACCAACAGTGTATAAGCATTTCCTATTCACTGCATCCATGCCAACATTCACTGTTTTTTGTTTTTGAAATTCTGACTGACTGATGTAAGGTGGTATATCATTGTGGTTTTAATTGGCATTTCCCTGATAACTAGTGTTGAGAACTTTTTCATATTTTTGTTGACCATTTTCTATATCTTTTTTTGAGAGAAGCCTCTTCATGTCATTTGTCCACCTTCAATGGGGTTATTTGGTTTTTTATTTTTGTGGAGTTTTCTATTGTTTTATTTTATTTTCTTGCTGATTTGTTTGAGTTCTTTGTAGATTTTAGATACTGCGTCCTTTGTTAGATGTATAGTTTGGAATATTTTCTCCCATTCTGGAGGTTGCCTATTTAACCTGTTGATTATTTATTTTGCTATGCAAAAGCTTTTTAGTTTAATTAAGTCTCAACTGTTTATTTTTGCTTTGGGGTCTTAGCCATAAGTTCTTAGCCTAGACTAATATTGAGAAGAATTTTCCTAGGCTTGCTTCTAGGATTTTTTTGGTTTCAGACCTGACATTTAAGTCTTTAATTCATCTTGAGTTAACTTTTGTATATGGTGAGAGAGAGCAATCCAGTTTCATTTTTCTACATGGGATCATAAAATTTTCCCAGCACCATTTGTTGAATAAGATGTCCTTTCCTCAGTGTATGTTTTGTTTGTTTTGTCAAGGATCAGTTTGGTTGTAGGTATTTTAGTTTATTTCTGAATTCTCTATTCTTTCTTATTGGTCCATATGCCTGCTTTTTCACTAGTACCCTGTTGTTTCAGTTACTATCACCTTGTAGTATAATTTGAAGTTGGGTAATATGATGCCTTCAGCTTTGTTCTTTTTGCATAGAATTGCTTTGGCTAATTGGGTTCTTTTGGAGTTCCATAGGAATTTTAGGATTTATTTTTCTGTGTCTGTGAAAAATGATGTTGGTTGTTTGATAGGGATTATGCTGAGTGTGCAGATTACTTTGGGTAGTATGGTTATTTTAACCATGTTGATTCTTCTAATCCATGAGCAAGGGATGTTTTTCCATTTGTTAATGTCTTCTGCTATTTCTTTCATCTTCTTGTAGAGATCATTCACCTCCTTTGTCAAATACAGTCCTAGGGTTTTTGTTTTGCTTTGTGTTGCAGCTATTGTAAATGGGGTTGAGTTCTTGATTTGATTCTCAACTTTTTTGTGATTGCTGTATAACAATGCTTCTGATTTTTGTGTGTTGATTTTGTAACCTGGGCCATTATTGAATTCATTTATCAAGTCCTTG